CACTCCACTCCTCCGCTCCTCCTTACACTTCGTGTTCCGCTCCTCCGCTCCTCCTTGCACTCCAATGTAAGTTCATCCAACATACGATTATTAGAATGGATAATGGAACAAGTTATTATTTTCTCATTATAATTAATTTGTTCCCTGTCGTGATTAGATTCCGCTGCTCCCTGTACTTTTCATTTGAAGGATTAATTTGCTAATTGTTTGTATGTATCCAAAAAGTATTTTTTGGCTTAAAGTTGCACCAAACATTCTTCATCACATCTGCACAATGGCTAAACAACCGTTAGTTTCCAATGACCAATGCCCCATCAAATTGTATCTCTGATCTCTAATCTTATATACTATAATGAAAAACTGTGTCTAGATAATTAAGCATGATGAAAGTTTTTTATGAGGCTTTTTTGGATAAAAAAGTAAGAAGATTCAAAACATAGATATACTCTCAAAAATAAAATATACTTTTTTGCTTCCACAGTATTGAATATATTGCCAAGACAGTTCTGTTATAAACAACATTACTTAACAGGGGCAGAATGTTTATTTATCCACAAACAGCTACAAATCAAATATTTTCCAAACGCATAAACAAAACAGGCAGACAGTCTGAATCAGCTGCTGATCAGCAGCTTATTAGGACAAGCAGCTTATCTAGATAAGCTGGATAAGCTGCAACTGCCCCAAACAGACCCTTACAGACCCATAGGGTCTGTTTGGGGCAACTGCATGTTATCCAGCTTATTCAAATAAGCTGCTTATCCTGATAAGCTACTTATCCTGATAAGCTGCTGATCAGCAGCTGATCCGGATAAACTGTCTGACTGTTTGGTTTGTGCGTTTGGAAAACAACTGATTCTGGATAAATGACCATTCTGCCCTTATTTTGGATAAACTGTTTAGTTGTTTGGTTTGTGCGTTTTGAGAACAGCTGATTTGCAGGTATGTTGTTGACGAGACGTTAGTAATAAGAATAGTAGTCTGCAACCACATAGTACTCGCTCGGACTTTCTTGAAAACATATAGCTCATCTAATAAACGTGCATTGACGTGAGTTTCATCAATGGCTCCTATACAGTCCTAAATTTAATAATGTTTAATCTATTAATAATTGAGAGGTAACAAATTTTAATATAATAGTTATATGTTTAATAGATACATTGAAGAACAGCTTGTAGCGAGTGTCATTTGCAATATGAGTCAGAATGGACTGGAATGTGGGATTCTTGGGCTTAATTATCTTAGAGGCTAAACTTACTAGAGCATGCAAACCAATCGAGAAATACTTGCCGATAGTCTCTAATGAATGTTGAAATCGCTTTATGGCTCCTCTAATGGACTCATTCTGAGATAATATACTGTGTTATTGCTAACACCTCTCTGGATGCCATTCTGGTCCAGCCATTCAAACCATGTTGGTGTTGTAGTTCGTAGAGTAGGTCGATGAAAATCTCTTTTGTCATGTGAAACATGTTTGCAAAGTGTGTTAGATGACTTCGTAGTAACTCACCGACCCATTTATCGCCAATATAGCTCGACGACATACATGTGGTTCGGTCGATACATGTAAGGTAGTAATGATATAACAAAGTATGAATAAGAAAAATCTTTCTAACGTAGTTCAATTGTTCTGGATCCATCCTATAAAAGTTAGTTAAAAGAGAATGGTTATACCCTTAAGCCATTTAAACACATCCATGAAACATATAAACACATAGGATATGAAAACATCAATGTTAATCATAAGAAGTTCAGATAAATAATTCATGCTAGAAAAAAAAAAATGATGCATGACACAACAGTACAAACATTTCTAAGAAAACAAAATGACTAGAGTTAAAAATATTCAATTTTCCAAGAAGGAGCGTAAGAAATTGAGTTGGTATTCTGCATCTAACTTCACAAAAAATTCTATACGAACTGGATCTTGTAGTAACTTGACACAATTGATATATAATTTCTTGTCCGTGGTAACCTCAGCATGTATATTTTAGATTTGAAGGCACCCCTCGAAGGATATTTCCTGTGAAGCAGAAAGCTTAACTATGCAGGATTCAACTAGTTTTTCGATTGTGCTCCTGACGAATGCAACTCCTTTCTTCCTTTTCTCCACCCTAGGCTATTTTGGAATGGATGAGGACTCCACATCCCTTTGGATTTCGCAGGGCACTTCTATTGAGTCGCTTAAATGATTGGTTCCTAGGACATTTGTTGTACCAATGAAGTCAGGCTCAAATGGGGTAAAAGCATGAGCTCTCGTTGCAACAACCCCCTTGAACATGTCATCCAACTTCTCTTCCATTATTGGATCAATGCCATTAAATTTGAAGTTCTTAGCTGCTGACATAACTTGCACGACATAACAATTTGAACTAGTTAAACCCTTTTAATATAACTAAAAATGAATAAGGAAAGTGATCAAAGGTATGCCGTTACCTCTAGTTTCTCAGCCCACCAATTATCACGAGCATCTATTGTCTGTTTCATTAGATCCCAGCCAAAACTTGTAGTTATCCTCTTAAGTTCTTTCCAGATCTTCTAGTCCTTCTTTAATTGATCCCACTTGTTCTTCAATTTCATCCTATTATAGTCCCTTTCTATCAATTCGTTGAATTTTACCATAACATTTTGCCAACCTTCTTTGTTAAAATATGTGGTCGGTCTATTTCCCAGCTTGACCTTCCTAAGCCAGATATCACAGAAAATATTGATGGCATCCCTGTCTCACATGGCTGATGATCCAACCTCTTTGCTTTTATTCATTGCTCAACTTACTAGTACGAGGGAAATTGAAAATGAAAACATTAAATAACATTAGCAACAAAATTTAACCAAATAAAAAATCAACTCACAAACAAAATATAATGTTTATATGTGAAGAGTAGTACTTGCGTACAACATTTTCTTGTCCTTTCGTTCAACTTCGACCCAAATTTGAATATAAAATATTAGCAATTGTGAAAATCCAATACAACTTAATATATTATGTAAAGAATTCGTTGTTTAATAATTGAAGGAAATGACATTAAAAAAATTAGTTTTTTAATCCATCTCTTAACATCTAAAAGCAATTGACATTCAAAAAATATTAGTTTCTTCGTTCAATGATGTTTATAAAAGAAAGTGTATGACTTTTTGCTATTAATTAAACCTTGATTTATATCGTACTACTGGCTATAATTTCTCACCTTGCACCATGAGGGTTTTTTTTATCTCAATTATGATCGGAGTCCATTCCCCATGGTCGATGGATCTTTGATGTCCTGTGCCTTCTTGTGAGATGTTACACTAATTTAATTGGGTTTCCGAGTTACAAATTGAGCCTTGGCCTTAACATTACTAACGAGAGACAAGAAAGCTGTAGAGCTTCTTTACAGGATAAATTAATAATACTTTGGTCAGAGACCTGAACAACAATGACAATTGATACCTCCGAAAAATAGTGGCACAAACTACAAAACTATTCCATTAAGTATAAGATATAATACTTTGAAGCTTAATCCAAAATGTTGAATTCATTATGTACATGTATTATAATTTCTAAAAGAAACTTTTTAGTCCACTTCGTCAATGGGGAGGATGAAGTTACTCGAGAAACAATACTAAAAATAATTTTTTCCTTCACTTTCTCAGATTTACACCACAAGTTTTGTACGAAGCCAGTCTACAGAAAAAGCCAAAAGAGAAATAAATTTGCCCCAAGAGTGGAGCTTCGAAGGATTACTGGCCTCCTGGGATTAACGCTGGAAGAAGCAAGGGAGAGAGGAGCTGAATGCCGAACCCTGAGATTAACGCCGGAAGAAGCAGGGAGCGAGATGCCGAACCCTGAGATTAACACCGGAAGAAGCATAGAGAGAAATGCCAAACCCTGGGATTAGCGCCGAAAGAAACAGGGAGAGAGGAGTTGAAGGTACGAGAGAACGGAAGGTGAGAGTAGAAAGGAAGCGGAAGCGAGAGCAGCTAGGGATCGCGAGCTAGGCAGAGAGCGGGGTAATAAAATTTCAGGCGCGCGAAGGGCAGCGAAAGTAATTCATGAATAAACATGCTAAGGAAACGCCACTCGCAGATTGTGGCAAAATTCAAAACAATGTTTAAGAAAAAGTTGTTCAAACGTGCAAAACAAATACTACATCGGCGTTTTGAAAACACCGCTGTAGTTTTAAGCTGTCCCAAACGGATCCTTTGTCTCGTTCCTTCTCTCTCTCTGCCTCTCTCTCTCTATCTTCTTAAGCTCTACTGCTTGAGTGAGGTTCGCAGAACAATCTCAAATTCAACATATACGATATAGTTATAGTATTGTTATTGTGACAACTACTATTTTCAAGATTCCAGTATATAATGTTATAGTTGTCGGGATGCTTTTTGTTATATCTATATAATTTTTGTTCAAAGAACATTCAAATAAGATTTAAATACAATTTTAGTAAAATTAAAGTGATCTCAACTTTACTAAATATGTCTTTTATCATATTTTAACTGATTTCATTCGGTTGGGCTTAAAATAAATGGTTGGAGGTCAAAAAATGGTAAAAAAATTTGCGTGCGATAGACGTACGTAGCGCTGCGTGCGATATTGGGGTTATACCGAGGGTACAAAGGGTTACGTCCTCGGTATAACCCCTTGTAACCTCCCTGTAACCTTCTGTAACTTACTTGTACATGTATAACAGAAACGCGAAACTTATTTTAGGGTACAGGTAGGTTACATAAAGTTATAGGGAGGTTACAAGGAGTTATACCGCGGATGTAACCCCCTTGTACCCTCAGTATAATCCAATATCGCACGTAGCGCTGTGTACGTCTATCGCACGCAAATTTTTTCCCAAAAAAATGAGAATATTTTTATACAGTGCCAGTTTCCTCTCATCGGTCGTGTAAAGTCAAAATTTATTTTGATTTTTATCAAATAGATATCATAAAAGGTAATTGATCCGACCAACTTCTAAGGATTTAAGCACGGTAATCCCCGCTATAAATTCCTAGTTTATTCTTAGCATTTTATACTTTTGCTTGCCTCACCAGTCGGCTCATCAGGCAGACGCCACCCATGGCGTCCTCAGAGTCAGAGAACCCCAACACCGAGGCGAGCAACGCGAAGGCCCTCATTTTTTCCTACTCCAATCGGACGTGGAGGGCCTTCCTTAGCCTTTTTCCTTCTCCTGATTCGAGTTTTCTCGCAAAAATCTCAAAATATTACCTACAAAGCCCCAGCGTCGGTTTTGGAAGGCGGCGATCTGGTCTTCCTCTCCTGCTTCATACCAGCACAATCTACTCTTCTCCGTGAGTTTTCGCCTTCATCTCCGCGAGTTTTCGCCCTTGTTTCCGCAGGTTTTCTGACATGTTATTCTTGTTGTCGCATTTGATTTAAGCTTGCACAAGGGGTTAACAAAGTGATTAGTGAAGATAGAATTTCCTGAACTCAAATTATTCAAAAAATTGTGTCAGGAGTGCAAAGTTAACGCTGTTAGTGTTGCTTCATTTTGCATGTTGCTATTAGGACATGGACATTACAATGCTTTATTCTACTAGTTTATATAGCCTGAAATTAATGAATTTGTAAACATTGTCATATGGGCGGAAAATATTTGCGTACATAAGACCTACGCAGCGCTGTGTACGTTGGGGGTTATTCAGGGGTACAGGGGGGCTATATCCGGGTTATACCCGCCTGTAACCTCCGTGTAACTCCCTTGTAACACGGGGGTTACAGAGGGGTATAATTCCGATATAACCCCCTTGTACCCCCTGAATAACTCCTGGACGTACGCAGCGCTGCGTACGTCTTATGTATGCAAATATTTTCCCATATGGACACTTTACATTTGTAACAAAAAGGAAAAGATAATGTGCGCGCGTGCGTGCGGAGCTTTAATAGCTCAAGGCGCAAAGCAAAATACACATGAAAATTAAGTCAAATTAACTAGTAGGATTCATGCTCCACAAGGATCCCTAATAGAAAATGAGGAGACCACCAAAAGAACACCATAAGATTTGACATATGTCATATATGCAAAGCACAAAAAAGTATTGGTTGGTTAGTTCAATGGAAGGGGGGAAAAAACAATGTAGAGATAAAAGAGAAAGAGTTCTGGAAAAGATTTTTTGGCAGCAAAGACAATCGGAAGAAATTATTGGCATCGAAAGGCTGCTCAGATTAGTAAATCCTTATCAACACAATCTAATAACCTAAAATCACCCAGGCCAAAGTGATCATAATCTAGAAGTATTTTACCGACACAAAAAATGGTAGGGTATGATATCTGTAGAAAGAATCTAAATTTAGCATAGTAATAAAGACAATAGAACATCACCCTTCCAAAAATTAAATTCATTGCACTGCAATTTAACCTTTATTTAATCCAAGCTAAGGAAAAGATAGCCACTCTATTAAATATTAATGAGATAACAGATAATTTAATTCACTATATAATCATTGTTATTGGTCCATTAAAGTAACCCAAGCACAAAACGGAGAATACAAAACCACTTACTACCGATTAGAAGAAAAGGGGAACTTCATTAGGGCCAGTCATGCCAAATATAAGTAAATCATTGAGAACAAGTGGTGCAAATACTTAAAAATCAATGATAAATCAAACAGCTTTAGATGATACATGTTGTAGCTAGCCTCTTGCTAGAAAAGTAATTGAAACATAAATACCACCAACACCCAATGCTGGATAAGTCAGTGTCAGTGATACCTTCCCATCAATCTAGCCAATGGAAGCAAGAATATCAAGATCACCTCCAACATGAATTAATAAAAGAAATTACTATGTAGGTGGTAGCAACCCACTCTATAAATAAGAAAAGCATAAAGAATGAATTTGGAATTAAACATGACTAACATTTAAATCATAATATCCATCCATATAACCTTCATGTAGGGTATCATTATTTATCCTCGACAAACAAAGGATATAACCATTTGATAAAGACATGGGGAATGGGAAAGATGACAAAAGCCATTACAAATAGCTCCAATGAAAAGAGGAATGAACATTTGGACACCCATGCAATCAAATAAGAACTAATGAACGACACAGATTGAACAAACAATCAACAATCACAACTCATTTACTTCCTGAAAGAAGAAATATCAATAAATAAGAAGCCAAACCAGAATCAATGTTTCGCTTCAGGATCTGTGACACCCCCTACCCTTTTTCTTATTTTGGATTCCTAAAAATAACTGTTCCTATTTGAGCCACTCCCACTTGCTTTTCCAAGTTCTACTGCAAAAACCTAAACTTTAAATTCTTGAAGACTAGTACCTCTGATCATCATCGAGAGTTTTCTCAAGTGTCTCATTTTTCTTCTTTTGGACTCCTGAAAATAACTGTTCCTATTTGAGCCACTCCCACTTATTTTTTTACGTCCTACCGTGAAAACCTAAACTTTAAATTTTTGAAGACCAGTACATCTGATCATTATCGAGAGTTTTCTCAAGTGACCCCCGTTATTTGGGATGTAATTAACTATAGAAGCTTCCCCCTATAGGGAACTTGGAACCCAGATAAAATAAATCCTACTTAATCTTTATATTAGGTAGGATAACTTGTCGGTCACACATAAAAAGTTAGCAGACCAAACAGATGTCACAAATAATCTTAGTTTGCAGGATTGTGTTCATCGTCGAGGTATACACTCATCTTTCGGGAAGGTATAATATTCGCGGTATCGGACACGTTTATGCAAACCATTAGACTAATGAAATTCATTTGGTCTTATTTTTAGAAAATTAAAACATACTACTTTCAAAACCCAAACTATATACCTCTTATATTAAATTAAATTTCAAAATTATTTTCAATTTTAAAAAATCAAAAGGTTGACCGACACATCCCTACACTGCGGTCTTAATCACGGTGGTGTTTATCCGGGAAGTGGTCTGTTTGCAAGTGTGTTGGAATCGATTGCATCAGATATAAACAAAATGTTCCTCAACCACTTCTGGAAGGAGCTATTCATGTTGCAAGGGACAGTCCATAAATGAAGCACCGCATATCATCCCAGACTGATGGACAGACGGAGGTGTTAAATAGAAGTGTGGAGACATATTTGCATTGTTTTGTATCTGATACACCGAAGCTATGAGCTAAGTGGATTGCATGAGCCAAATATTAGTATAATACTTTGTACCACACCGCAACACACACCACCCTTTTCAAGATATTGTATGGGTGGGATCCTCCTTATTTAATACATTATGGGCATAGTACTACACTGATGTTCAACGTCTATCAGTACATGGAGGGGGACATGATACTAGCATAGATCAAGGGACATTTACTGAGAGCTCAATAAATCATGAGGAGGAAAGCAAATGAACACAAGAGAGGTGCAATTTGAACTTGGAGATATGATCTATTTGAACTTGAGACCCTACCGATAAAAGACATTGGCCAGGAGGAGCATGAAACTTTCACCAAGTTATTTTTGTCCTTATGAGGTGATGTTACACATCGGGACAGTGACCTACTATTTGACGTCACCACCATCATCTGCACTACACCCGGTCTTTCATGTATTACAGCTGAGACGTGTGATTGAAAATCATACACCTTCATCTACATTAACGCTGACATTGACGAATGTTTTGGAGGTGATTCTGGAGCCCCTAGAAATCTAAGTAGTGCACCGAGAAGTATGGGGAGCAAATGAGGTCTTAGTTATGTGGAAAGGATTGCTAGACTATGAAGCAACGTGGGAGCCTTACGAGGTGATCCACAAGCAATTTCCTTTCTTCCACCTTGAGGACAAGGTTATTCTTTGGGAGGAGAGTATTGCTACGCCACGGGCAGGACCAGTCTGGGAGGGACCGGTCAAATGCCTACCATTTGGTTCGCCCCCTCCACAAACGGGCTGGTCCTCTTCGTAGGAAGCAACCGAGCAACCACATGCCGCGACAGATGAAGGAAAGGAGCATGTGGGGCCCGCTAGGACTATAATCACATACTCAAGGAAGAGAAATTGAGGGGAGTTTGGGAGAAAGTTTAGAAGAAAAGTTTTCAAATGCTATATGAGGATTCTATTAGGAGGGAACTTAGGTTTTGTTTTTTTTTGATGCATGTTTTTGTTTGACTGCTATTTTCTTTCCTATTGTGGTGTTCCTAGCAATGTATAGGGTGTGGGAGAGACTTTCTGCCTTTCGAAAGTAGATCATCCTTGTATCTTGCTTGTTTCTTTGATTTTTGTAATTGCAGCCCTTCTTTGCATTTCTTCCACCTATCTATTGCCGTTTTGTCGTGGTTTATTCGCTGATCTTGGTCTCTAAGCATATCATATTACTTATATTGAAGCCATTAAAAATATGTATATTAGAGTTGTTACTTGTGTTTGAACACAAGGATGATTTCCAAGTATTTTCTTATTAGGGATTGACTTTAAGACTCATTTTGTTTTAGTTATGGATATTATTTCTGGATATTTATAGGAGGATGTACCTTGGTGTATGCTTTTCACTAATGATATCCTTCTTGTGGATAAGACTAGAGAGAGTTCAAGAAAAACTTAAATTATGGAGGTCAACTTTAGAGTCCCAGGACTTCCATTTGAGTAGATCTAAAACTGCATACATGAAATGTAATTTTAGTAGTAGTAGATCTAGTGGTGGGATTATAATAATGGATGATCAATTCATTGAAAGGAGTGAACGTTTTAGATATCTCGTGTCTATTGTTCAAAGTGATGGAGATATAGATCGATATGCTATTTGTAGAATTCAAGCTGGATGGTTGTAGTGGAGGAATGGATCGGGCTTACTGTGTGATAGAAAAGTAGGGCTTAGACTTAAAGGAAAATTTACAAGATGGTGGTGATACTCGCAATGCTTTATGACGCATAATGTTGGCATGTAAAAGAGAAGCATAAAATTAAGTTAATTATTGATGAGATGAGAATGCTTAGTGGATGAGTGACTTTACACATTAGAGACAATGTGAAACGAATATAATCGTGAAGGGGTTGGAGTAGCTCCAATGGAAGTCAAGATTAGATAGAGTTACCTTGGATGGTTTGGTCATATTAAACGTCGACCATCCAATGACCCAACTAGAAGAGTAGATGTTTTAGATTTAACATATGTTAAGAAAGGCTAAGGTAGACCTAATAATAGTTGGGCATGTTATATAAAAAAATGATGTTAATTTATTATAATTAAATGAAAATATGACACTCAATAAGACACAATGGAGAAAAATGATTCATGTAGCCGACCCCACTTATTAGTGGGATGAAGGCTTCTTGTTTTTGTTCCAGCCAGGAAACTTTATAAAACTTTGGTTTTAGTTACATCAGAAAGATGATTGCAGGGAGGAAACTAGAGTTTAATGGTACACGATAAGGGAGCTTTTTGTTGCGTTTTAATATGTTTTCATTAATAGTAATTTTGGCAATTTTGCTTAGAGGGAAACCATCAGCTCAGTAGCTTGGGCATTTTCCAAGTAAATTTATCGGCCAGAAACCACCCCATTGAGATACAATTATTTATCCTTATGTTTTATGTTTCCTTATTTCAATACTTTTTAATTGATACTGTTTGGTCCAAATGAGGAAATGCATGTACTCAAGGTTTCTGTGTCAAAGTACATCTTGGTTTATCCTCAATTATCTGGATGATGAGCATATTCCGATTCCAATTGAAGCTTCAAAATTATCGGAGACAACTGCACCCATGCTATGTTCAAACTGTTCTTGTTGTTATTCCCATGTTTTGTTTAGCATGAATTGGTATGTCATGTTTGTTATTGTGTTAAATTAATAATTCATGTTAAATCCAATATTTCAGCGTTGCTGCTGAAGCATCCAGAATATTCGTCATATTGGAAGATATAAGGGAGCATACTTTGTCAAATTTACACAGAATACATAAAAGTTTGGCTTTCTGGCAAGCTCGGGCTGTGGTTATTTCTGATTTTGCTTGATCATATTTATTAGCTCTACTTTTTATAAGTTGATCATAGCATGACGGTATGGCTATTTTGTGCCAAACCTATAGTTTCATATTTTTAATTTTTATACCTTTATCCAGGAAACAGACTATCAAAAGGTGTGGTTCATGGTTTTTAACAGAGGACCACGAGCCTTTATGTATGAATCTTTTCAGATAATAAGAAGGCTTGCCACAGATGGACATCCATTTCAGTCTATCGCTTACTCTGCCGCTGATATAATTTCTCTTAAAATCACTATTTTAACAACGCTACAACGGTGCTTGGCTACATTCCTCGCGCAGGTTTGCATAATTTTGAAACATTGGCCTGCTTAACCTGTTCACATTCTATTGAGATGGGAAAGCTTCTTTTTATTTTCTCAGGTTTATTTAGAGGTCAACAAATTCAGTGAATTGTTAACTGCGGATCAAGAAAAGTCATTACTGTCATTATTGGTGGACATTGATAACCTTTTCTGCAAGTTGGAAGTATCCATAAGTCATCCATGTGAAATATACAATGAGGTATCTTCACTGTAGGAATTATGAGTCCTTTGACTTCTTTTGTAGACTTATGGTGCAAAGCCTTGATATGCCGCCTGATAGTTGTACATGTTTTACTACCAGTATTCAATGCTAATTTATTGGGTTCTCAAAAATTTCAGAACAACGATTCACTTTCCATGGAAAGTGGCAACTCTTGTGAACTTCATTTTGAGAAACTTCCAAACATGGAAGATGAACAAACACAATGGACCGATACTGAAATAAGGGATTCCACAAGTTTGATTCGTCGAAATCTTCAGCGACTAGACTCCTATCTATCATTCATGGTATAATTTTTGTCCTTCATTTTGTACTTGTAGCTATTGTGGTAGTTTGAGTTAGAAACCGATCAATAATCACTTTATGTTTTGAACTGGATAAGTTGCTTTCCATTTCGCTAAATTCATTGAGTTTTTGTCAACATTGCCCTTGGGGAACAAATCAAGAAGTATTATGGGGAACAAATCAGGAAGTACTATGGATATATTATTCAAGCAGACAGCGAGAAATGTGGAGAAGATTAGGATAAAAGAGATCAGGCCTTTAGCTAGAAGGAATGCTAACAAATTGATCTCTATTCTCTTGGAATATCAGTTATGTAAAAGCCAATTTTTTTTTTCTTGCTACACGATTCTTTCCTTTCCTACTGTTTTCCCAATTCAAGCTTGTGATTTCCTTCAATTTTCTTTCGATTTGCTCTTGCTGCATTCCTACAAGAATTGAGCGTGGGTTAGGACATTGAACAACAACCTCCCTCCTCCCTCCTCTCGGTACTGCCCAAAATCATTGCCCTTTTGTCCTATCCCTTGAGATACAATCGCGATTAGAGTATGCGGGGAAGGCAATAGGCGGATCGCGTCATACCTTCCTCCCCATTCCGTACGCTCCTACCCAAAACCATCGAGGAAGGTAACCCTTGTCTTCTCTTGCTACCCTCGTTGCTCTTGCACACTTCGGCTCCTCTAAATCCCGTAACCCGTCTCCCAACAGAGATTTAAGGCAAAGAAAGAAAAACAAGATTTAAGAATTAAAAAGATGTTCTTTTTGTTAATTAATTGTACCTAATAAAAGAATTAATTTTTTCCTCCTTATCAAACTAAAAAAAGAGAATATTATTATTTTAAGTATGTTAGTAGGTCAACGTTCATAAATTCTTTCTTTTAAAAATATTATAATAATTATAATAATAAATTAAGAACAATAATAATGGTGTTAATAATCATATTAATGAACGTGGTTTAGATTATATCCAAGTAATAACTGCATAATTAATCTTACCTTCTAATTGATGTAGGATAGATAGTCAAACCATCGAGTTTGTAGAAGTATTATATTTGCCGACTCGAGGTAAATAATCGCTCTTTATTATGAGATAAACGTACCCTTCCTAGTTAGGGGCGTTATCCTTGCTAATTGTATTAGATTCCTAACTAATTATAAGTTTGTCATTCTCACCCTTTTAAATTTCGTTCATATAATTACAACAGCTTCTATTTTTGCTCATGATGACTGTGTAATTAAATTTGTTTATTTTTGCTTAGTCTTGTATTTAATTGTTCGTATTTAAGCTTTTAATAGCTAGTATTTCTTTAATAGTCTGATATGACAAATCTTATCAATTAAGTTTTCATAATTGTTTATAAATACCGGTGAACATTTTATAGTTATGTTCTCATGTTGATTATGATCATGAAATATAACTAATATTATAATATTATTATGATAGTATTAAACCCTTTTATTGTAGCTAGCCGGACTGATAGGTGCTTCAGAGAAATCAGTTGATTTCCATGAGCTTGGTGCTTATCTTTTCTTGTTTCAGGGTATTGTAGTAGACCGACTAGATATAAATATAATTATATGTATATATGTATATATTGAAATTTTATATTATCAACTAGTGTGAAATGATTGATTATTCATATCTGTACCAAAACACCTGATATTGTAGCATGTAAATATCTACAAAAAAGTGCATGTGTTCAAGTAACTCTTATTCATGATCATAAACATATGACGGTCCTTGCAAATTCTTTTTTGCACGTAATAAATCATTCATACTTATTAGTCATACTACATGCCCTATTTTCGTTACCATTTATGCTTTAATAAGTAGTATTTAATTACTGAGTTTGATTTTCTTACCCATCTGTTGATATTTTTATATAACAGGTTTGAACACTTTCCAGATTTAGATTTACTTTTGGTATTTTTCAGTTTTGTATGAATTATTGTATTTTCTTTCTGATTGGGTAGTTATCTCTTTATTTTTATTCTAGTTTTTTTTTTCAGTTGTCTCATTTTCGTTTAGTTGTATCAGTCGTATCCTTATTTTTGGAATAAAAAATTGAATTTTTTCTATTTTTTTCTATTATTACTTGTAAATTCTTTTCCATTTAAGAATACAAAGCATGTTCAATTTTTTTCATCATGCCCTGTGTTGCCGGAGTGTACTGCCTTCCGGACCCAGGGTGTGACAAGTTGATTGAACTTTGCCAACATTTATGATTCTTAAAACCCGTCTTAAGGAAACACTTTTCAAGGTCTTATTTTGTCAAGATTTCTATTTAACATATCTAATCTCTAAAATGTACTTTGTCACATAAATTGTCACCCTAATATTGCCAATACATGAGTGGATCATATTGATTTGGATGAGACATCTGAGGAAAATTTCAATTCATTTTAGTTGGCACCATAAAAAACCTAACATTCTATATACTAGCCGCCTGCTAATGGCCAATATCTATTTTTAAAATTTTTTATAATCCCTTTTCAATTTTTCATAGGGCTACTAATAATTGCTATAGAGTAATAATGCAAATTAAGGAAATTATTCTTCTAATAACATGATTGTACTATTTACTTCTAAAGAATTTTTTGCTATGTTTATTATCGAATGACAGTATACATCAACAACAATAAGCCTTTATCCCACTGAGTGGGGTCGGCTACATGAATCCTTTTTCTTCATTACGTCTTATTGAGTGTCATATTTTCATTTACTGATAATAGATTAAGATCATTTTTTATGCAACTTGCCCAAGTCTCTTTAGGCCTACATCTACCTTTCTTAACATAAGTAAAGTCTAAAACATCTACTCTCCTAACAGGATTATTCAGATGGTCGGCGTTTAATGTGACCAAACCATCTGAGACGACTCTCTCTAACATTGTTCTCCACTGAAGCTACACTAACCCTATCTCGAATATATTTATTTTGTATTTTGTCTCTAAATGTCAAACCACTCATCCACTTCAGCATTCTCATCTCAGCAACCCTTAACTTTGTTTTATGCTTCTCTTTTAAAGGCCAAAAGTTTGCACTGTAGAGCAGGTTTCACCATCATCTTATAAAACTTTCATTTCAGTCTAAGCGGTACTTTTCTATCACACAATAAGCCCGATGCATTCCTCCACTTCAACCAACCAATTTGAATTCTACTAATAACATTCCAATTTATATCACCATCACTTTGAACAATTGACCCAAGTTATCTAAAACGATCACAGCTTTTAATAATTTAATCACCCATAGTTACAGCTCTGTCACTAGAGTTACTACTACTACTAAAATTCCATTCAATTTATTCAATTTTAGATATACTCATACGAAGGTCTTTAGACTCCAATGTAGACCTCCATAATTCATGTATTTCTTGAACTCTTTATTTAGTCTTATCCACAAGAAGGTTATCATCAGCAAAAAGCATTCACCGAGGTACATCCTCTTATAAATGTCCAATAAGAGCATCCATATTTAAAACAAAAAAGATATGGGCTAAAAGCCGATCCCTGTTGTAATCCGACTAAAAACAGAAAATGCTTGGTCAATCCTCCTTCTACTCTAACACAAGTAACAACTCTAGTATACACATTTTTGATGACCGAGAATATGTCGTATCAACACTTTTCTTCTTTAGAACTCTCTAAAGTACTTCTCTTGGAACCTTATCGTAAGTTTTTTCTAAATCAATAAAAATCAAATGATGTAGGTTTATCTTATTCTTTTTGCACTTCTCCATCAAACCTCTCAATAAATGTATAACTTCCAAAGTAGACCTGCTCGACATAAATCCAAACTGATTATGAGAAATTTTTGCATCACATCTTAACCTATGGTCAATTACCTTCTCCCATAATTTTAAACTATGATAGATCAATTTAATTCTTCTATAATTTGCACACTCTTGTGCATCTACTTTATTCTTAAAAATGGAGACCAAAATACTCGTCCTCCACTCTTTAGACAACTTTTTAATTCTAAAAATAATATTAAAGAGTTTAGTATGTCAAGAAATTCTCAAATCATCTAAATATTTCCACACTTCAATTAGGATATCATCATGTCCTATTGATTTTTCATTCTTGATTTTTTTAAAGCCTTGTCAATTTTTTTTACCAATGCAATGGTAAAAATAAAATATTTTATTATTATTAATGATATTAAGATCACTAAAGTTGATTATATTTTTATAAATTTCATTGAAAAGTTTATCAAAATAGCTCACCCACTTATTTTGAATACCTTCCTCTATTTTTTTATTTTCATCTTTAATACACTTTACTTGAATTAAATCTTTACTTTTCTTTTCTCTTTGTTTGATTAGTTATGCATATATATTTCATCATATTTAGTATTTAATTTATTATAAAGATCACTAAAAACAGAATTTTTAGGGTCACTTTTACATTTAAATCAATTTTTATAACACTTATTTTATTTTATTTTTTGTTGCATATTATTATTTCACCACCAACTATTTTTATTCATAAAAAAACTTTTCTATTTGATTCTCTAAGTACATCTTTTGCCACTTGTTTAATAGTGTTTGTTAATTTATCCCACATAGAATTCACTTCTTCATGGACATCCTAAATATTAAAATCTTGAAATTTACTCATAAAATTGATTTTATTTATCTTTTAGGTGCCCCCATCTAATTCTATAATAATATTTTATTGTATTTTTTTATTTTACAACTCTTCATCTAAAAAGTCAGACCTAATAATAGATGTTGATTATTTAAATTTTTACTTGGATTTACCGCATAATCTTTACACTCTAGACGAACATTTTTTTTTCAAAAGAAAATAATCAATTTTTGTTTTACCCGATCCATTCTTACAAGTAATAATATGATATTTTTTTTTGTAAATAATGTATTTACGATAACAAAATCATACTCTAAAACAAAATCTACAATGATTCTACATTCTTCATTAATCATTCCAAAACTGTAACCATCATGAATATTTCTAAAATCTTTCATCACTCTGCCAACAT